GGGGGTGGAGGGGCACAGACAGGGGGGCATACACACACACACACGTCCATGGGGCTGCCGGGAGGCCAGGAGAAAGGGAGCGGCAAGGCCATAGACGCAGCCAGGGCAGATCTCTACGTTGCAGACCGACCTTTCAGCTGGTCTGACGCGTGGTGAGAAGCAGGCAGATAGGTGGTGAGAGGGAGGTCCGGTAGCTCAGTGCATTGGCATGGTCCGTGGAAAACTTGCCCCTCACTCACCCCACCTCGTGGTGCCTCAGGAAAGGCAGTTCAGGCTCGCCTGGCGCAGCTCGCATGTACGGGATTGGAGTATGGCCGCCTCCCTGTCAGCGGGCGTTGCGTTGATCGACGAGCTCTGACTCTTGGAAGGGGGAACGGAAGAGACACGAGGGGGCGCGGGCCGCGGGGTGGCCAACAAAATGTGAAGCTCGTTGAGAGGGAGGTAGCAACACAGATGTTGGTGATGATGATCTGGCCATGTAGTGATGTCCTCGTGCTGCTGCTGGAAACGAACGCTGCTGGAGAGGAACGAGGAGCAACAGGATAACGACGCAAAGGAAAATCTGAACGTGCGATGGCCACACCGCGGCGCTACGCGCTATGAAGTGTGCGCCTGCAGCACCTCTGAAAAACCAAGGCAGATTCCACTCTAGCACCGTGACGCGCTGATAGAGTCTTCTGGGCCCGACTTTGACAGTTGGGCCTTAATAGTGTGACTTATATCGTCGAGAGTGGAGAAAGCGTTCCCTCGCTCGGACATGTCACCCCACCACATGCCATCAGATCACGGACACAGGGTCTGAAACTCAGGGATTCAGAGGGAAGTACCCGATGCCTTGCCACGTGCTTTTCGAGAGTAATGACCCAAGAATCGAATAACGTGTATTTCGATGTTAATGAATGACCCTTTCCTAGGAACAGAAGCGAACGATTTAGTCGGCTTTGCTTACTGGATTCTCTTGGTCATCAGAGAGGTGCTTCGAACGCATCAACCAGTGGGATCGCTACGGTTCTTCTTTCGATGAACGTGAAGATTCGGCTCGGGTATAACCGACAGTCCATTTTTACAAGGAGCACTCAAGTTCTATCAAACAGTTTGGCGGGCCTTCTCCGAATTGAGGTTGCACCCTCCATAAGACAAGGGAACAGGTGCAACGAGACCAGTGACTTGGGCCAAGTCGCGCTCTGACAAGAGGCCTTGCAACCATTATTTTGTACAATCGTCTAGATAGAATATGTATGAGCTCGGGTGAGTGCTATACTGTGGCATGTCCTGATAGAGAGCAACCAATGTATCTCCCAGGGTCAGTTTGGAGTCTACTCTACCATTGCAGACGATCAAGGAGCTGCTACTTATTCACAGCTCTTCCATCCATAGACCTTTGGCCTCCATTACAGAGTCGACAACGGCCGTTTCAAGGCTGCTAATAAAGCAGAGACAGTCTCGAGGGCTCGTCTAGCTTACGTTGTGTCGCTTGTGAAAACAGTTATTGATGTAAGTACCCGAGCTTGTTACATTTGGGTGCTTAAGAGAACGCAGAACGCAGAACGCAGAGCGAACAAAATACAAGCATTAAATATCAACGAACACTTGCACAATTCACGAGGTCTTCAGTTCAATGCTCGTCTCACTTGATTCCTCGCAGAGCTAGACGTCATAAAGAGTGTTGGTGAAACCCATGACGTTCATCGAGTACCATGTCGAAAAACCATACTGGAATAGAGTATAGTGGATTGGGGCAAGACCCATCATTTCGGTTGAATTTCTTGACGGTCGAGCTTGGAATTTGAACGAACTGACCCTGTCGACGCCTCATTGACGACCCGTCCCCGAAAAGACTGTTCAAAGTGGTTCAATTGCAATACTGTGCATGTTCAGGTGATGGCCGGGTCGCAAGAAACTGCAGTTTGGCTGCAACAGAGCAACGAAGCAGGTACATGTACTTGGGGAAGAGGGGCATGGATCCACCTCCCCTCGGAATCTAGGCGTCGTTGGTGCAGCTTCAGCACCGCCGACGAGTCTTATCTTGGGCTACTACTCTCCGGTGGGACGTGGGAGGCGGCCTAGTGGTGAATTGTGTGCTAGAATCGAAACCCAGAGTCACAAACGACATGCCCACTGCTCACATTGTGCCTCGTTCGCTACCTTAACTGTCCGCACTGTAGCACATCCCGTCGGACATGCCCACCCCACTGTCGGATGGTGGCAGTGTAATCTACATGAAGAAGCATGTGTTGAGGCCTGGAAGTCCGGCGTCGGTCGGTTGAGCTGACGCGGGCGGCAGGGCAGGGAACATTGGCCCAGTGCAACTCCTCGGGCCCAGATGGAGATATCGAGGGGACCTGGACGTGGGGTGCTGAGACACACACTGGCAGCAGGCCGTGAAAGATGTGCCCTGCATCTCGCATGTCGGTCCAGATTGTCCAGGTGTGTTGGGATGGCTTCTTGGATGTGTCTTTGTCCGGCCGCTCGCCGCCTGAGCTTAGGTGCCAGATCCCGAGGGGAGGGCGATGGCCAGTGAAAACCACAGGGGATGCTCCTTTCGTCGGGCACCTAGTCTGGGCCTCCCCGCATTACTGATCGTATTGACGACACCTTCGCACCACCAGCCTGCGAAGGAAAGCTGTGCTATGTCGTCGCCTGCCACCTCACGGAGCAGTGCATCGTCCTTCGGCTCTGCACCGCATGGGCACGTTGTCGCAGCGTTGGCGGGGAAGCTCCTCAGCTTTCCGTGCTACGCGGACCACCGACCTGTAGCGCCCCTGCCCATCGTGCACCTCACCTCGCATCCGTTGAACGACCAACAGCCTACTTGGCAGTGTCACCGCTATTTGGGCATATGCACGACCGACTCCTGATGTGCTAGCACGCCGTGTTGGAATCTTGGTGTGGGAGGGTGGGCGTTGACTACTGGCGATGACAGGCCGTCCGCAGGTGAGGGTCAATTGACACTTGTGGGACAGCTGGGTGAGTGGTGGTCGTGGCGAGCGCAGGCCATCGAGTGCAAGAATGGTCCTCGTGTCCCAGGGCCGCCAGCGTCCCACCTGCAGCTCTAATTGCGAGCACTTTTGCCATTCGATTGACATCATCTGCATTGCGCTGGTTATCATGTACATCGCATCTCGTCACAATGCACACCTCACACGAATCACAGACAAAAGTCGGCAAACAGCACAGCATCTGCGTGCGAGAAAGTGTCCGTTAATGCAACCGCAATGTCCGAGGATCTATCCTCCAAACTCCCTACGATGTTTCCCCCGTAGTCTGTATGACGTGAACCCGACGCGCGATCATTCCGGCCCTCCACTTTTCAGAATACATGTCGGTGCCCTATTTTTTTCGCCATGTGCGTCTCGAGAGTGAAAGTCGTTAGGAAAGGACCCTCTCCGTTTACGAGGGGGGAGCGGCACCACGGCCACGGCCGTAGCCACCACGGCTGCAAAAGTCTCGTTAGCGGGTCTGTCTCTCGTCACTCTTTTCGCGTAAGGGGGGGTTTGGCGGAGCTTACAACTGCGGCTCGAAGCCGGCAGGCGCACCACCCTCCTTGCCCTCACCACCAGCCTCCCGGCGGCGGTAGCCACCCTCACGGTCACCCCGGTCACCACCACGGCCACGGCCGCCGAACGGCTTGCGCTCGCGCTCGCGCTCGCCGAGCATGCCGCGGGGGGGAGCGTGGGATCGCTGCTGCTTGATGTGGGTGGCAGGAACGATCTCAGCGGGCAGGTGGAGCCATTCGCGCAGGTAATCGAGACCCTCGGGGGTGAGGGTGTAGTAGTAGTATTGCCAGCTGAACTGGGTCTTGACGTAGCCGCGCGAGTTGAGCGACTGGAGAGCCTTGATGACGAAAAGGTTCTTCGTGTCGATGTCGGGGTGCTTGGGGAGGTTGAAGTCCTTCGCGGCGACGAGGACACCCTCTCGGAAGAGGTACTATTGCGACGAAAAAAAAACACTGGTTAGTCTACGGCCTTGTGCGAAGCGTTTGGTCTTCCCGCCATCGTCGTCAATCGCCCCGAAACTTTCTCGAACATGGCGAATCGAGTCGGCAGCGGGGGGACTGATGTCGGGTGCGGTGCTCTGGTGGTTCTGCTAACCTCGTGGATCTTCTTGCGGTCAGCCTTGGGCATCAACATCGTGGCGGTTGTTGATCGTCTCGACGTTGGGGAGAGGGTGAATCGTGAAAGGCGAGGTCGCGGAGGCTTGCGAGATCCAAGTCGTCGAAATGGATAACTTTTGTGTGGGCGGAAACGGAAACCCTGGGCTAGGTAGCGAAGTGGGGAACCCGACAGAACAATCAGGTGCGCAGGCTCTGGCTTCGTGGCTTGGCCACAACCGAAGTTGAGGCGACAAACTGTGGCGCACCAGTCATGTGATCTCCACCATGATAAGATAAGTATAGACTGTTCGATGGGCGCCTAGAGACCGTGATGTCGACTCCATGCGTTTGCCCCCAAGTCTGCCTGCGATCCAACACGATACCTTCTGTCGACGACAAGACCGAGACACCGCGGGGACGAGTAAGCAACATCGACATCCTCCAACTTATAACTTCTTTGAGCTGTACCTGCGATCGTTGAACCAGCTCTACCCCTCACCAGAACCACTTGACACCGCGACTCGGCATCAACTCTCGCCACGACTTCGGCTGCATTCAAGAGGATTCTATCGGCATATCAATCCGTCATTTTTGTCTCAGCACCAGGAATCGACCGGAACATCGACTGAAATGGCGCCCCGGAACATCAACGTGTTCGTCAGCACGTTTCCTGGTCTAGGCCTACCCTCGACACTTGTTTTGCCTATCCCCGCCACCACCACGTTCTCCGATGTGCGAGGACAGATTGACGCACGACTGCCCGAGTCTGGCAGCAGGCTCATTCTGACTACTATCTCCAACAAGGAATTGTCCGCGACTTCGGCCCGCCCACTGTCAGATCTCCTGTCGTCGGTCGAAGATGATTTCATCTCCCTGCGCCTGTCCGTTCCCCTCTGCGGCGGCAAGGGTGGTTTCGGCTCCCAGCTTCGCGCCGCCGGTGGGCGCATGTCCTCCAAGAAAAAGCGCAACCAGGGCGATGCGAACAACTCAAGCCGCAACCTCGACGGCCGTCGGCTACGGACCGTAACGGAAGCCAAGGCGCTTGCAGAGTACCTGGCGATCAAGCCTGAGATGGAGAAGAAGGAAAAGGAGAAGAGGCGCGAAAGGTGGCAGCAAATCGTGGAATCGTCCGAGCGACGAGAGGAAGAGATCAAGAATGGCGGAAAGGGCCGTCTGGACGGTGCATGGGTTGAGGCCAAGGAAGAGGCGAATGAGAGGACACGGGACGCTGTTCTTGCTGCCATGAAGGCCGGCAAGTACACAGATAATCTGGCAGGGACATCCTTTGGCTCCAAGTCGTCTGCTCAAGCCGACGAATCCATGTCAGACGCGGAGGAAGAAGACTCAGGTGAAGAGTCCTCCAATGAGTCCACGCCTCTAACCGAGTCGACAGCAACATCGAAAGGCAAGGAGAAGGAGAAGCCCCGGGCCTTTTTTGGATTTGACGAAGACGACGAGTTCATGAGCTCCGACGACGAGGAAGATTCCAAGAAATGAGATGTCTAATCGGCATCGTGGTCTGATGAGTAAACGGCGCAGTGGGATTGGTTAGCGATTTAGAGAACGTGCTGCTCGGAGTTTCCGGGCATATTGAGCTTGAAGATGATACCTAGTCAGCGTACATGCATTTCACTTCACACAGAAGAAGATTCAGTGGTCATCTTCTGCAAACGTCACTGCGCAATTCAACTCCTGGTGCTCTATTGATATCTCGCCCTCAGGGTAAGTAGTACAAGCGACCCATCCTCCAACATCTAGCCCGTGCAAAGCCTCGAACTTCCAATATCTTACGCGTCGAGCTTGACGGGGAAAGAGCCAGCCTCTGAACGGGGATTGAGTTAGCAAGTGTGTACCGTCGTGAGCGAGAGTCATCGTACCGCGCTGCTCGTCCCAGCGAGTGTACCAGCCGGAGGGGCACAGAGATCGGTAGGCGAGCCAGAACTAGGCGCTGTTAACATCCTTGTCTCACTGATTCCGTCGCCGTCGTTCCTCGTACCTGGCGGCAGGGAGCGAACTCCTCGCCCTTGGCGTTGATGCACTTGTGGTAGTCGACGTAGTTTTGCCAGCAGTGCTTGGTCTGGTTCATGTTCGGGAAGCGGGCATCGGTGCCTATAAGTCGAAAGTCGGTGTCAGCAACATCATCACAACTTGCCAATTGCTCCTCCGGCTCCGGACTTTCGATTGTGTCGCAGTCGTGGACGGCGTCAGGACGGGGAATTTCGTACCAGCTGTAGAGAGCATCACGTTAGCCTCGGATGATCAGGCCATTGCTTAGGAGAGGGATTTCCGGACGTACCAGTCACGAACTTGAAGGGCTTGGTAACGAGCTCCTGATCGTCAGACATCTTTGCGGTTTGCTGAGGGCAATTGACTAGATATTGGGTTGTTTGGGCGAGGTAAAGGCGTGCAACGACGGAGGGATTGCTCTTGGTTACGGGCGCATTGAAGATTGTCGTTGGACGAGAATCAGGTGGTGACGGTAGGAACCGGCTGGTGCCTCAGGCAAATTTTTGCGGGTCGGCGCTTTCGTCCGGCCAGAGCTCCACTCCCAAGTCCAGGACTGAAGCCACCACTCAGCGCAGAGCCGAATCCCCGACACCCAACTTCAATCCAGTTCCCATCACCAACCTCCACCACAAAGTCGCTCCTTGTCACCTCAAACGTCAAGATGCGTCCTACTCTCGCTCTCCGGGCTTTCCGCCCGACCCTCCGCATGAGGTCGCCCGTCCCTGTGAGTTCTTCCTCGTTCGCCATGCACGCGCTCGACGTGGTTCGAGTTCAATCAGCTGACAATGACGTGACACGCAGGGCGAGGACCAAGCCGGTATGTCGAAATTTTTGCGATGCCATTGACGCTGACGGCAGCTTTTGGCTGGTTGATCGGAACAAGAGGCGTCTGTGGGACGTGTTTTCGGCATGCTAACATGCTCTGGACAGGCCACACCGTCTCGCAGAGGCTTCGCAAGCTCAGGAGGATCCCTCCCGAGTTGATCCCCCTCGGTAGGACTGATCCCTCGGCTACCTGAGCATGAGAGCTACTAACATGGCTGCACAGGTGTCGTCGTTGGCTTTGCCGTCCTCGCTGCCGGCTACTCCAGCATCCGCCACTTCATGGTTGATGGCACCATCCGCCTCAAGCGCCAGGGCCCCAAGCACAGCGACAGCCATGACGAGGCGTCCCACTAAAGCAAGAATCTGGAGGTTTGGGTGGGAAACGAGGAATGGACTTGGTGTCCGTGTGCTACTAGAGTGACGACACAAATGTATATGTCGAGCGAGCAGCCAAGACAAAATCAGACTGGGTCGCAAACATCGCATTTTTATTCGTCTTCTTGCAGGACTCTCGCACCATGCATGACGTGCGGAGAGTGCTCCTCGTACCTGTAGAACGCCATCGCTATGCAAAGAATACTCCCGTAAACGACTACATCCATCCACCAGTCTGCCTTTACTCGGGCCTCGGCCCCGCGACATCGAGACCTTCGAGTCCCTGCATGGGGTCTGGTCCTCGTGCTTCCGACTGTATCGTGACCTGTTCCGATGCCATTCTGTCCTCCTCCCCGACTGCATTTTCAGCGAGCCACCCTTCCTATACTGATGTCAGCGCTGCGTGCAAAGAGCCTCGAGTGGGATGCGCCATACCTGTTCCCAGACAGCCTTCTTACTGCCCAACCCCTCCTCAGCGCTCTTAGGAACCTTGGCCGCAGAGACGCTGATGATGCGACCAAAAAACTCAGACTGATCCATGTTGTCGATAGCCTCCTTTGCGTCATCAACGTCTTCGTACTCGACGTATGCGAAACCGCGGTGAGACTCTGTTGAATTGGGCTTGTCATTTTTCGGCAGTGAGACGTCTGCGATTTCGCCGAAGGGGATGAACGCATCCTGAATGTTGGCGGCGGTGACCATGGCGGCCAGACCGCCAACATGGACGGTTGACTTCCAGCGCGCGGCGTCGGTCATGATGGTGTGAGCTTTGTTAGGCGTACTGGTCCGGGTCGAAACTTGTACCGGAGTGCTTCACTGACGACGACGACAACGACCAGCATGAGTTTGAGTCTCAATGGCGCCTGAGCTCTGCGCTGCGCTCTAGCGGGGCGCTCCGTTGCGTTGGGTGACTAAGAAAATCATCAGATGCACGTGATCTTGGCCAGAAGCTTGGACGCTTCAACGGCAGCTCAGTGCCCTCACTCAACGGCAAAGCATTCGCCCTTCCTTGGTGGGGGGGCTAGAAGCCTAGGCAGCGTGCACGTCCCCAGCCCGGCTAGGGGGCTCTAAGGGGGCCAAAGTCAGGGAGCTCGTCCCTGCACTGCTTGATGCTGTGGGCTGCAATCTGGCATCATACCTGACCACGGTCACAGTTGCACAAGGGCCTCCAACTTTTCAAGCCTGCTATATCGGTGCGGTGCTTTCCTGAGAACATTATAGCCCCCCTTTACCACCGTCAATGCCAACACTTGATCGAGCGTGACTCTCACCGACCTCCCTATTCCCCGCCACGTCATCTTGCACGCCCGTCTCTGAGGGCTGAGCACCTCCCACCATGGTTCGCCTCCGAGAGATTCCCAGGACCGCGGCCTTCGCTTGGTCGCCTGGTTCGGAGAAGCCTCTTGTCGTCAGCGGTACCCGTGCCGGCGCAGTGTCCGATGACTTCTCCGATGAGACCAAGCTTGAGCTTTGGGACCTCAACCTAGACGACCAAGACCAGGGACTCGAGCTTCAACCTGTTGCCAGTATCAGTACCGACTCGAGGTGAGCTTCATCTGCTCCGCCGTGCCAACACTGGCCTCGTTGCTGACATTGATGTCCACAGGTTCTACGACATTGCCTGGGGTCCAGCCGACGAGGACCACCCCCGTGGCATCATTGCTGGAGCTCTGGAGAACGGATCCCTCGATTTGTGGGATGCTGAGAAGCTCATCGCCGGCGCCGAGGATGCCTTGATCTCGAGGACCACGAAGCACACCGGCGCCATCAAATCTCTGCAGTTCAACCCCCTGCGGCCTCAAATCCTCGCGACTGCAGGTGCAAAGGGCGAGCTCTTCGTCTACGACGTCAATGACATCGAAAACCCCTTCCGCCTTGGCACCGCTGCGGCTCGGTCCGACGATCTCGAGTGCGTCGCATGGAACAGGAAGGTCTCGCACATTCTCGCTACCGGTGGATCTGGTGGCTTTGTCACCGTCTGGGACCTGAAGACGAAGAAGGCCAGCTTAACACTGAACAACAACCGCAAGGCTGTCAGCGCCATCGCATGGGACCCCAACAATTCGACGAAGCTCCTGACGGCGACTCCTGACGACTCGGCCCCCCTGATTCTTCTGTGGGATCTGAGGAACTCCAACGCGCCCGAGAAGTCGCTGCAGGGTCACGACCAAGGCGTGCTCTCGCTATCGTGGTGCCAGCAAGACGGCGACCTTTTGATCTCCAGCGGCAAGGACAACAGGACTCTGATCTGGAACCCCCAGACCGGAGAGCGCTATGGCGAGTTCCCCGAGGTTACCAACTGGACTTTCCTCACCCGCTTCAACCCCCACAACCCCAACCTGTCGGCCACGGCAGGATTCGACGGCAAGATCGCCATTCAGACACTGCAGAACACCAACTCGACCTCCGCGCAGGCCACGCAACAGCAGAACAAGCTGGATGGAGAGGACTTTTTCAACCAGGCGCAGACCCAACCGCAGGGCGCCTCTTTCTCCCTAGCTAAAGCCCCCAAGTGGATTCAGCCGCCCATTGGTGCCTCCTTTGGTTTTGGCGGCAAGCTCGTTATCTTCAAGCCACAGCCGGGCCAGGCCAGGGCTTCCAAGGTCATCATTTCCCAGTTCTCGGTTGACTCTGATATTGGCACCGCCACGGAGAAGTTTGAGGCCTCGCTGCAGTCCGGCGACCTGGTCGGCATTTGTGAAACCCACAAGGACCAGGCTGCGACTGAAGAGGAGAAGGCCGACTGGCTTGTGATGGAGACTCTGACCGGTGATAACCCTCGGAAGGCGATCATTGAGCACCTCGGATTCACCGAAGAAGAAATCGTCAACGGCACTGCCGCCGAAGAGACCAAGGAGAAGACCGAAACCACCTCGGACGCCGAGAAGGAGGCCGAGGAGCCCAAATCTGCGTCTAAGAGGGTCTCCGGGTTCTTTGCCGATGGTGAGGGCGACGGCGATGAGGACGATTTCCTCAGCGGCATCCCTGCTACCAAAGGCACCAAGACGGATAGCCCGTTCAACCTGCTCAGCGAGAACGACTCGGCGGTTGAGAAGCAAATCACCAAGGCGCTTCTGCTGGGCAACTTCACCAAGGCCGCCGAGATTTGCCTGAAGGAGGAGCAATTTGCCGAGGCCTTCCTACTCGCCAACTGCGGCGGCCAGGAGCTGGTCGACAAGGTCCAGAAAGCCTACTTGGCACGCAAGAGTGGACGCCCGAGCTACGTCCGCCTGCTCAGCAGCGTCATCGATAAGAACCTTTGGGATGTCGTCTACAACGCTGATCTTGAGAATTGGAAGGAGACCATGGCTGTCCTCTGCACGTTCTCAGACCCCCAGGAGTTCCCCGACCTGTGCGAGGCCCTTGGCGACCGTGTCTTTGACCACGGCCTTCGCAAGGATGCTTCCTTCTGCTACCTTGTTGGATCCAAGCTGGAGAAGGTCGTCAACATCTGGATCGCTGAGCTGCAGGAGGCCGAAAAGGCTGGTCTTACAGAGCCCTCTGACGACTCGACCTTCTCTGTCCACGCCCGCTCGCTTCAGAACTTCATCGAGAAGGTTACCATCTTCCGCCACGTTACCAAGTTCCGAGACTCCGAGAAGGAGTTGACTGAGGGCTGGAAGCTGGCTGCTTTGTACGATAAGTACACCGAGTACGCTGACATTATCGCCGCCCACGGACAACTCGCGGTGGCCCAGAAGTACCTGGACTTCCTGCCCACCAAGTACCCCGCCGCCGACCTGGCGCGAAACAGACTGCAGCTGGCGACGGGCACCAAGAAGGCTGCCCCCCAGGCCACCGCCTCCAGGCAGGCAGCTCGCCAGCCTACTCCCCGCCAGAACTTTGTGCCCCAGCAGCCACAGCCTGCCCAGCCGGCGCTCAACCCTTACTCTGCCCCGACGCCTGCCCAGACCCCCGGTAGCAACCCCTACGCGCCCCCGACGCCGAACCTGTACGCTCCTCCGGCCACTTCCACCCCCTATGCTCCTTCTGGAGGCTACCAGCAGCCGGCGCCCACGCCACAGCAAAGCTACCAGGCTTCGACTGGCTACGGCGCCCCCACGAACCAGTTCAACAACCAGTTTGGCGCCCCGCCTCGAGGACCAACACCGACAGCCCCCCCGCCCCGTGCCGGAGCCAAGCCGACGGAGAACTGGAACGACGTGCCTCTGGTCGCAAGGGCTGCTCCTCCTCCACGGAGGTCTACGCCCAGCGTCGCCCCTGTCACATCTCCCTTTGCCAGCCAGCCCGGTCACCCTGGACCACCTCCCCAGGGACCCTGCGGACAGCGAACGGGGGCTACGCCGCCACCCCCTCCTCCGAAGGCCTCTGGACCCCCCCGTGTCACCTCTCCCCTGTCTGGACCTCCGCAGTCCTTCCAGGGGCCACCGAGGCCTACGTCGTCTGCCAGCAACGTTTATGCTCCTCCAACACCTCAGCCTGGCTCTGTGCCGCACCCGCAGATTCCTCAGATGCCGCCCCGCACCGCTTCGCCCTATGGTGCTCCTCCTGGCGGAGCGCCTCCTTCCAACCGGTATGCGCCTAGCCCCGCAGCGCAGCAGACGAACCAGCCTCCTCAGGGACCAGTGCCCTCGGCAGGGCCTCCTCTGGGCAGCGCACCGCCCCCAAGGAACCCGTACGCGCCACCGCCATCTGCGGGAACCCCTCAAAGCCAGTACGCGCCTTCGCCCTACCAGGCGCCTCCGCAGGCATCCGGTCCGCCCCCGACGGGCCCTCCCCCCGGCGGTCCGCCCCCTTCAGCAGGACCTCCTCCCGGTGGACCGCCTACGGGCGCCAGGCCGACGCCTCCTCCGCCAAGAGCCTCAGCACCCCCCGCGGCGAGGCATCCCGCCGGCGACCGCAGTCACATCCCGGCTAATGCACAGCGCCTAGTTGAGGTGTTCAGCTCGGATATGCAAAGGGTCGCTAGCAAGGCGCCAGCGTCGTTCGGGCCTCAGGTTAAGGACACGCAGAAGCGTCTCAACCTTTTGTTTGACCACCTCAACAACCAAGAACTGGTGCAGCCTGATACGATTGAGAAGCTCAACCAGATCGCCGAGGCTCTTCAAGCGAGGGACTACGACGGGGCGCAGGCCCTGCAGGTGGAAGTTCAGCGTGAGAAGACGACGGAGTGCGGCAACTGGATGGTACGTTTGTTTCCTGATTGGAATTCTGCCACGCAAAGCTAACTTCTCTTAGGTCGGTGTCAAGCGACTGATCAGCATGAGCAAGGCTACGCCTTGATTTGACGAAGTTGACGAGCAAAAGTGTTAATGCAAGCTCTGCAGCGAGGGTGATCTTGCGCCTGCGCAGCACCGAAGGGCTTGGTGGAGGCCGGTCGGTGAAGCAAGCAATATACATGGTGTAGCCTTGAACGTCATGAACAACTGTTTATTTTGAGAAAATCATGAGAAACGAGTGACCGTTGTGTGTGTGAACATTCTGTCAATAATGGATAGAACGCATGCCCAAGACTCGAATCCTTTTGTAACAGAGAATAGAGAGGGAGGGTTCAATTCACTGCTCCAAGGGGGGGTGAAAGCGATAAGATAAGGATGGACCCCTGCCACATTTGGAGGCCACTCGCTCGCTCCTTGCTCTCGTCCACAAAACGTCACTCGGCCACTCCCACCATTTGACTTGGTCGTTGGCCATCGTCGACAAGTGCTGTTTTCCTCCCCACGATCACGACCAAAATGACCGAACTCACACCTGAGGATGCTGCTGCTCAGCGAGCCTCCGAGCAAGCTCGTTTGCGCAAGGAACGCCGGGAAGCAAAGATCAAGGCCGGAGGTGCATCACGGCTCGACAAGATCACTGGCCTAGGCGGCCGCGCACCAGGTATGAACCATGAACACTGAGCTCGTCTCGATCATATCATGGATGTCTTTGATCGCTGACAACATCATGATCCGCAGACTCTTCGGCAACTTCATCACCAGCGCCTTCAGCTACAGCGTCACCCGCCCCCACAAAGCAAGCAGCCGCGCCGCCGCCGCCACCTCCTGCCTCCTCCTCCGCCGCCGATCACGCCGACCCCGACGAGGTTGACATCTCGCAGCACTACTACGAGCCCAGTGCGACGCAGCGCATTCCGCCCCGCGCAGGCCCCGGCGCCGGCTCCAACCCCAACGACCTCTCCGAGGCCCAGCTCCGCCAGATGATGCTCGGCTTCGAGCGTCCGCCCGCCGGCGGCGAAGCACCGCCCACCGACTTTCAAAACGCCTTTGCCGCCATGGGCGCCGCCGGTGACGAGGACCCCATAATGAAGATGCTCTCGCAGATGATGGCGGGCGGCGGCCTCCCTGGTGCCGCCGACGGCAGTCCCTTCCCGCCGGGCTTCCCAGGCTTCCCAGGCATGCCGGGCGCCGCCGGCCAGCAGGCGCAGGCGCAGGCGTCGTCGTCTTCGGCAGACTATCTCTGGCGCGTGCTCCACGCCGTCTTCGCCCTGACGCTGGGCCTCTACATTGTCGCGACGACGCACTTTACGGGCGCCAAGGCGCAGCGCGAGCGCACGGCGCTGGCCCTCACGTACCCGACGGCCAGCGACGACGTCGTCGGCGAGGTCAACCGCATGGAGGAGGGCAGGGAGGTCTTCTTCTGGATGTTCGCCACGGCCGAGGCCCTGCTCATCACGACGAGGATGTTCCTGCTGAAGGGCCGGCCTGCCGAGGCCGGCATCGCCTGGACCGTTGCTGCCTTTCTGCCGGGCCCGTGGAGGGGCTGGGTCGAGACGGCGCTGCGATACGGCAATGTTTTCGCTAGCGTGAGGAGGGACATTCTCGTCTGCGTCTTTGTGCTCGGTGTCGTTGCTTGGGTGAAGGGATAGCTGTCCGAAGTCCGAAGTGGGTGGCAAGGGGAAGGGGGAATACACGTGGCTAATGAGAGCCCCCTTGATCACTGGGCTCGAGAATCCCGAACAGTCAGTTGACCTGCATTGAGACTATCGATATCCTACATTGATCTAATCCGGTGCGAGTGAAATTGAGCCGGCCTGAGAAGGATGCATCGGATCTAGCCAGAACAGTGACACGCCACCTCCAGACGTCTCCTTGCAACGGGGCCAGCCTCAGCTTTGCTCAGCCTATAATCGAAGCAAGCCCCCCCTAAGCTTCGCCAACAGACCTCGTTCCAGGAACAAATAAAAAAGCAAGGCGAAGAATGAATACATGGCCATTGTGGGATCCTGACAGCTGGCGCCGCAACCTTGCCCAGCAGCAGCACCCAGACAGTCGCGCTCCAGACCCACGCCCAGCCAGGCCATCGGGCTCACCTACCCCTTTCAGCCTCACCCGTGCTCAAAAACCTTCCCCCCGGCCCACGACCTGGTCCCATGAAAGCGGACAGGACCCCCGAGCGCGGTCCCCCGTGGAATCGACCGACTTGGCTGGTTGTGTGGGCTTGCCCGTCTCTCACATGTGCCGAAGTCCCCCGCCCGGGCCAGCAAGCGTGGCAGAACCCTCGGGAGAGCTTCTGACATGGCTTCCCTTTGGTTCCTTCTTCATACGTCTTCCCATCTGCCCACACCCCTCCCTCGCTTCCCTTGATCCCCGCTCGGGGCTCGTACATCGTTAGTGAAATGTGACCTCGGCCGAGAGACGGAGACAAAGAACTGTTGAACAAGGTAGGATTTGTTGAGCTGCCAGCCTATCGGCCTGAGCCAGCCCGAGCGAAGGTTCTCTACTTATATGCCGCCTCGCTCGCTGTGACTTTGTCACGGCGGGCCTCCCTCGCTCCTTCGGACACTCTCTCTGCTCGATCCTCTCTTGCCAGATCTGTCCGTCGTTACATCACGGGGTATTCCCACACACCACACCATCCGCCCACGAACCAGCCAACGCCGAAACATTTCCTCCTGCAGACCGCCCGCCCCCCCCGGTTTACATCAGTCCACGTCATATACAACAAAGCAACCCGTGCCCTCGTCCCCATGGTTATGCCCTCCCCTCAAGCTTGTCCAGTTGCGCCGTCAGCTTGGCGTTCCCCTGCAGCATGTCTTCCAGCCAGTCGGCCGCCATGGTGAGCATGGTGCTCTTGCTAAAACCACCACCCTTGAGCCCTGGCACAAGCTCACACAGGTCGTCGAACCCTTCCTTGATGAGCGTGCGCCGCTTCTGCTCGCTGCGAATGTGATTCTCGCGCTTTTGCGCCTCCGACAGGTTCTCTCGTTGCGGCTTTGGCCCCGTCGCTGACTTGCGCCGCCGCCCGCTCGTGCCGTTCTCTGCTGTTGGCAGCGGTACCTGCCCACTCGCTGTGGCAACTTCTTTCCCTTTTTTCCTTCGTGCTCCCTTGAAGGGAGGTTCCGCGTCGTCCGAGCCATCGTCGTCTTCCTCCTTCGCGCTTCGGCTCTTCCTCCTCTTACGGGGCGGGCCTTCAGGGACATCTTCCAAACGGGTGCTTGCTGACTCTGTCGCTTTTTTCATGTATGCCCCCGACGATTCACCATTAACCAGCGGAGACGAGGGACGAGTGTTCGATGCGCTGCGGCTGGGCTCGAGGCACTCCATGTGCCGCAACTGATTCTTTGATAGTGCATCGTACGTCTCGCCCGCCGAGTCCGGGATAAAGCTGTGGGGACGGCTGCTGAAGCGCGCGTCCGATCCCCATTGCATTTCCATCGGCACATGGTTCTGCCTCGGAGGTGGCGGGGCCGGCCGGCTGGGAGCGGCGGGTGAAGGGCCAAATACGAGATCGGTAAACATGCCCAAATGCTGTTCCTCCATGCTACTCTCTGCGAAGCCGTTGGTGCGTTCGGCGCGCTTGAACTCCTCGAGCGGCTGATGTCGCAGATGGTGGCCCAGCTGCTGGCCAAGTGGCGAGGGGATACCTCTATGTGGCGGCGAGAACATGGAGCCGCCGGTGTTATGATAGTGGTGTCGCGAGGATGAACCGTTTTGCAACAATGTGGCGGCCGCCAGGACGTCGGGTGATGGCTGCTGCTCGACCGAGGGGCGGGGATGCGACATCATGTGTTGTTGAGGGGGCGGCGGCGGTGGCGGCATCATCGCGGAGCCTAACGGCATGAGGTCGGAAAAGTCTTGGTGGTGCAGTTCATGGCCTGGAGAGTGCAGCGGCGCACCGAATGGCGCCTGGCCCAGCGAGGTCGCAGTGCCCATGAACTGGGGCGGCAGAGATAGCCAGGCGTCGCTGTAATTGAGACCCTCGCCGAAGGAAGGGACGTTGTAGTGGTCGGCAGTCATGTCGTCGAAGAAAGAGGATATGATTTTCGAGTCATTGTCGGAAAGGATGGGCGCGCCAGGGGCGGGTTCGGGTGGAGGGTCGAGAAAAAAGCCTTGCGACTCGTCAATGGCATCTAGAGCAGTATACTGTCAGTATGATTGTTGCTCGTAAGTAAACGGTGTGAGGGGCGGGTGCCTACAGCCAAAGACCATATTCGAATCCGAGGGCTGCGACGAACCCATTGTGGGACGTTGTACAGCGAGCATGGATGCGTCTCGAACGAAAAGGGTTGTGGTGGATGTTGAAAGTATATTCGAGGGAAACTGGGCGGTTCAAAATGCCCAGGTTTGTCGCATTCTACGAACTTGGTGTCCTGATGTGCATGGCAGAGGTAGGTGCAACGATTGTTATTCGAGGTTCGAATGTGCGTTGCTGTGTTCAAGAGGATGCGCCGGCGTGAGGCGTTGCAGATAGTCAAGTTTGCGGCACGTGAAGATGACGGAAGATGACCTTGTGAATAGATGACGTGCGGTAGATTGCCGGAATCCGGGGATATGGTGGGGTGGTCGTGGTGCTCTTTCGTCGAACTAAGGCGCAGTGTAGGATACGTGATATGGGAATCAGAGATCGTTCAATGGTTGAGAGAGAGGTGCGTTGTCCAACTCGAGCGGCAAAACGTCTACGTCCGGTGAGGCTGAGATGTCGGATGCCCGAGCTCTGGCCGCGTTGTACGTCGGTTGGGTGTCTGAAAGGGTGGAAAGGAGTAGGTGCGAAAGAGAGAGAGGAAAAGAGAAAGTAGATTGAAGCGGAAGACGAGAGACGACACAGGCGTTAATGAGCTGGAGAGACAGATGAGCGAGGAAGCCGGCGTGTTCCGTGATCGGTTGGGACGGGGGGGGAGGGAGGGTGTAGGCGGATCAGGTCTCAGTGGAGGCTGATGGTGGTGGTGCGGTGTGTGGTGTTGAGTGGTGTTGAATTTGTGTCGAGGTTGAGGGTATGGGTGCGGGTGCAAGTGCAGGTGTGCAGGCAGGTGAAGATGGAGAAGATGCCCTTGGGGGGTCTGTGTCTGTGTCTGGGTCTAGCTAGGTCTGAGTCCTTGTCTGGGGGTTCTGGGGTCTGAGAGGCAGTGTCCGTGGGCCCCGTGGCTTCCTTTAGGCAGGCTGGCGGGTTCCGTAGAAAACGAATGGAAGGACCAGCCAGCTTGCTACTGCTGACCTGCGGTCTGCGGTCTGCGGGCTGCTTCTGGGGGGGGAAGGAATTAGGGGGGGCACCTGGTGCTAAGATCCCTGTCAAATCCGGGGCGGCCAGTGCCAGAGGTGGATGCCCACTCCTGCTTAGGGCCATCTTGGGTGCTGGCTTTGCTGGGCCGCCTGGGCAGTCACACTTGAGGGAGGGCGCAGGTGCACGCAGGTGCAGCACGCGCCTGCCCACTTTCCCCAACATTAGCCCTGGGCTACCTGAGATATCGCTCTAGGGGGTTTGGTGTCGCCGTCCGTCATTGGCCGTCATGGGGACAGAGCTGGTCGATTCGCAGGGGTATATTGCGGTAGCCAAGCTATGACGATAGCGGAGTGTCACATGCCATTCTCATTTCTAATGAGCGCCTCCACTGTGGCCTGGGTCTGGCCTCGTCTGGTCTGGTCTGCCCGGCGAAGGAAGGAAGCTCCAACGCCATTGCCAATGCCGCGCAGGACCAACTCGCCAGCACACCAGGAACACCACCGAAACGCCTGGCGAGGCCGTGTTTCCTCTCCCATCATCATCATCCTGATTAGCAACAGCAGCATCGGCGTCGGCACCAGGCCTCAGCCTCCCTTTTTTTCTCCGCATCTGCCCTGACGCTAAAGCCGAAGCTGTGGAGCTCACGGCTACTCGGACACGGTCGCGACCCTTGATTTCTGCGTACTACCGCAGGAACAGAAGCCGGAGAGACAGAGAAAGCCAACATACCGTCCCCTGGCCATCCATCCCCCTCTTGTCCTGGCGGGCTTTGCCTTCGACGTTTCGTCTGAAGTATGGTGGCCAGGACAGCCCTCCACAGCACATCGTTGTCGTTCCCATCCCATCGTCAGACGTCAGAAGCACAAGACATTTAGATCATCAGAAGCACACGTTGCCTCGGCCTGCGTCCAGCGATTTCCTCTTCAGGACGGGTGACACCAGCCTCTACAGTGTGCCTGTTCAGGGGTGGCATCAAGCCATAAGCGAAATCACAAACACACCGGCGCCTGGGGGATCGCCCTCTGATCCTGGATCCCATCCTGCCAGTGCCAGTTGTCGTTGTTGGCTTGAGAGCCCTGTCTAGTCCGCTCAGAACTCACTCTGAATCGGAACGTTTCGGTGCCTTTCCTCGCAATCACAAGCACAAGCTTCGCCCTTTCCCCATCTTTTGATCGACCCCACGAGCGGGACAGGCCTGGCACTAGCACGACGACTCCACGACTGCGCAGACGGCTTGATAGCACCAGAACCTCGGCCGTTGTGATTTTGGCATATGTCAACAACGCTCTCTATTAGTATCACATTTGACCACCTGTTTCCCCCTTCTACGCCTTCAGTTGGTCTCCTGCTTTGGGGCTGCCGCATCAAACTCTCTCTTCAGCCTCCTTCGTTTTGGATTCCTGTTTCTGGACGAGCCTGTTCCTGGACGAGTGGTTACTTGGGACCTGCGCATCCATGTCCATCGCTCAGATCTTTTACCTCAATGCGACTCTCATCCCTCGATCCGACCCAATACAATTGAGATTGGTCCAACCCTAACCATCCTTACAAGCACAGCACACACACTTTCAACCAACCCCCTGGTAAGAGCGGCCCGTCGCCAACCCTCCCCTACCTTGGTACTTTGTCTTTACTCGTCTTGAATCGCGTATGACCTTGCCTATCCCCCTCCCCCAGTGGCCCCAACACGAGGTGCTCGTGCTCTTGGGGCCCATCTGTCTCGTCGGCCGAGCCTCTTCAAGTGAAGCCATAGAACGCTATGCCCCCCGCGGACGCCCGAAAGAAATTGTCATAACCTAATCTGGACCGCATCCTGCATCCCGCATAAAGTCGTTCTCGCAGCTAGCAAGCAGCCCATGACTAGACACGAAGATCATGTGCCTTACTCTCACCTACCTGCGTCTTTCATGCACACCGTGGGCCCACGGCGCAAGGCGTGAGGCGCGAGGCACACGACACCCGGCATAGCGCGCGTCCCCTTATTGTCTGTCCCCTTTCTGTATCCAATGGCTTGTTGGCGTTGCATCGGCTAGCCCACTGTCCCTCAGCACTTACATCATAGCCTCGACGTCCTGCCATCTAACCACCGTTAGCTGCAGCACATGCTGATCTTCCCTTGGCCCAGGCACGCGAATACTCCCGAACCCCCAACGCCGTTTTCCAGTCCCCCCGGTCGCGGTCACGGCCACAGCCACGGCCATCCGTGAGGCGACGGCCATCGCTTCCTTCCGCCCGCCATGCAACCTCGGAGTCAGCTGCTGAGCTCCCGAAGAGGGCCCCTCGACATCATTCCCGGCACCCCGCCTCTCCTGAGACCTCTGGTGCGCGCATACCTCTTGGGATATGCATCCTCCGTGGCGCCTAGACTATTGACTCTCCTGCTCCAACATGTCTCCAGGGCTGTCAGGAAGCGAAGCGGCGCATCTGCGGGCGCGCAAAAGGAGCATGAATCCTTCCTGTCCTCGCTGAATCATACCATCTTGACTGGCTTCGAACTTCGCCGGTTCCCCGCCTTCTGCGCCCTGCTCGCTGGCGGCAGCACATTACTCGAGGTCAGTGGAGTTCGGCTCTGGCTTGGCTTGCCTTCTTCCATCCTTCCACGTCTTCTATCACTTCCCCAAAACTGACACCTGTCTTTTCCCAGGAACCATTTCGGCTGTTCTTGCATCGTGTTGCGCGGGGTCTCAGTGAGGTGACACGGACGCGGTACGTCTGACATGCTTCGGCGCCACCTTCTTGGGACAACCCTAGTCTCACCCGTGGCGCTGCCAAATGTCGCATCATTATGTAGTCGCTAATGATTTCTCTCAAGGCTGTCGAGATGGTTGTCGACATTTGTGGCAGCCTGGCTCAGCCTCCGGCTGGTGCAGTCACGCATATGTTCAAAATTCACCAAAACGGTTCCCACCAGAACCAATGTCCACCCGGGCGTCAAGGAGGAGAAGGTGGCCATGGCCGGACGCACTCTTGACATGACGCTCTTTGCCTTTACACGTGCAGTAGATGTCCTTGTTGGCGAGTTGTGGTCTCGTCGCCGAGCTCGCCGCGTAGCGAACCAGAAATGGACCAAGGCAGGTTCCACATCGATCCTCGGTCACGATTCACATCACTAACAAGATGCTAGCTCGAGAGCCTCGTTGGCTATTCCACCGATCCCTGGATCTTTGTGTGCTCCTGCGCCCTCATCATGTGGGCATGGTTTTACAACCCCTCGGGTCTGCCCAAGGCCTATCAAAGGTGGATCAGCTCCGCCGCTGCCGTCGACAACCGCCTCATCGAAGCCCTGCGGCGCTGCCGATCCGGCGATCTCCGCTACGGCAAGGACACCGGCCAGGCTCCGCTTCTGCAGTCCATGTGTGAGGACTACAAGTGGCCTGTCATCTGGGGCGATCCTGCCAAGACGGCGCCTTTCCCCTGCGAGATGGTTCACATGGGCTGCGGCCCGTCGTGCGAGTACCACGCTCTGTCTCGTCTCGTCCGCTCATGGCGCTGGAGCATGACCATGTACCTTCCCCTCAACCTCGCCATGCAACTTCGCAAGCCTCCGACCGTCCGGGGCATCCGCACTGCCGTGCTGTCCGCGTCTCGCTCCTCCGCCTTTCTGGGCGTGTTCATCATGCTCTTTTATTACGGCGTCTGCCTCGGCAGGACGCGCATCGGCCCACACATTGTCGGTAAAGACTTTGCTGGACGACAGAAGATCGATGGCGGCGTGTGCGTAGGCTGCGGCTGTTTCATGTGCGGGTGGAGTGTGCTGCTCGAGACAGCAAGTCGACGGAAAGATATGGCCTTGTTTGTGGCACCGAGGGCGCTGGCGACTCTATTCCCGCGAAGGTATGCTGAGGACAAGCAGTGGAGGGAGACGCTTACCTTTGCAGCAAGCGCCGCCGTCGTGTTCACTTGTGCCAAGGAGAACCCAGCCAGGGTAAGGGGTGTGTTTGGTAAACTATTGGGCTCCGTTCTGCGAGTGTAAGCACGTGTACGCTATGACGATAGATCCTGGGTGAATATGGGGCACAGCAGCACGCATTGCGCGATTGGATAGAATTGTAGCCATCATGTCGGAACATACACGAATCCGTAAGGAAATGCGAAGGCAGATTCCCGATATATTGGCTTTACTTGGCGTCATAGAGGTCATTCGGAGCTTTGTTTTATACGAAAGGCTTCTTCCATTGGAGCCGTTTTAATTACATCCTAGAGCACCACTGGCCGTTCAACCTTGCTCGCTATTGTCATCGAACTAGCTCTATCGTCCTCCCACTCCCCACAGCCCAATGCGTGCTGACAGTCGCCTACATAGCCATCAAATCTCAACGACACGTCTAACAGCACCTTCGAGACCCTTGTCACCCCCGTCAATGTCAAAACCCATGCACACTACGCCGAATGGCACCTTCACGGCTCCCGCGCTCCTCTCCTCTACCCACCTGTCAATCACTCCGTCGCCCCTTGCAGGGTTCCACCCTTCATCCTGGCTTCCGAGCGACGGCGCAGCGTAGACAACCTTGCGCACAAACGTGCCGTACTTCATCGTCGCGTCGAGGAGGGCAAGCGCCTCGTTCGTCTCAGGCTCGCCGTTCTCGTCGACCGGGGCCGGGTGGAAGATCGACGTCACGTTGTTGAGAGCTGTGCGGTAGGAGTCTGGGGTCGTGATGGGCGTGATGGTGAGTTTTCCGCATGCTGCGGCCTCGGCGAAGGAGGGGGTGTGGGCGGGAAGAGGGGAGGTCAGGCGCACGCGGGTGCCTGAGGAGAGGGCGCTGGCTATGATGTCCTCGACGAGGGGGGAGGAGGATGGGGAGGAGGAGATGAGGAGCGTCGGCTGGGTTGGGGAGGTCATCTTGCCGTGTATGAGGCAGGGAGCGAGGGTGACAAGTGCGACGTGATCAATCTGCGAAAAGGGGAGGGAAGGAATGTCGTCTTTTGAATAACAGCAGACGTTGCTCGACACGACGAGATCGATTCAGGTCTCGTCCTTTATACCTGTCCCATCTCAACAGCTCGCCTGAGGTACCACACACAACGAACCCCCCGCCCGCGCAACAGCCTTCTGTTTTCCCCTCTTCGCGTAGAACTCACGATGCAAATCCGCCCTCCCCCGCGAGCGGCACCGCGCATCCCATCCCTTTCGGCCCCTTGGCGCCCACGCGAACGGAACCGGCGAACGTCGATCTTGGCTCGCCCCGCCGGCGGGGGGGCGCATCCCACGCGCGGGGGAGGCGTCCCAGGCCGCGCAAGCCGGAGACAAGGCTGTCTCACTCGGGATCGGCGGCTTATCAGGATGCAGACGGGTGCCGCGAGGGGAACTTTATTTTCGGTCGATCACGAAGCGCCTGGACACAAGGAAATGGTCACCTATCTTTTTTTTCCTCTTTTCGTGATCATGGTTTTCATCGACACGGCGCGAGTACACCACAGCGATATTGCCAAATGGTGATTCTGCAATGCGATTTAGGGCTCCGTCGTGTTGGGGGCTACGAAGTAGCTGTGGAACGCGCCTCGTGTGGCGAGGCGACGATCATCCTGTGGCGGGCTGATAGGCAAGCCAATGCCGTCTAAAAGATGAGGAGCTCGAGAAAATTCGATGGTGCGGTCTTGAGTCCCTGCATTGCCCATTGCGATTTTCCCGGCCGCGGCCTTGGAGTATTCGCGCGCCAGGCTCCAAGAGATGTTGATCAAGCCATTTTTAATCTGCCTCGTCGCCCCCATCCCAGGGGCACGCACGATATAGCGGCTCGCCATGATGGGATTTGTTCATTCGAATTCGTGAACTGGAGATATCTCCTACAACAGCTACACTTCTTATTGATGTAGCAAGTCTCTGTGGGCTGCTTTGGTATGTCATACGCGAGGATGGTAGTCTATCGCTGGAAATGGCTGGTAGACACAAAAACCCATGACAACCTCAGACTCTGTTGACCCAACGAACAAGTATGTATACGCTAAGCAAGAGAATTAAACGCCTTGAAGAATACAGTTGTTGATCTAGGACAGCTGTATTATTTACACAGATTGCCTTCCACGCTTCTCATACTCAACTGCAACTCCGCAAACCTGTTTGGATGGTCACAAATTCATCCAGCCTTCAGTCACATTTGAGAATTTGTTCTATCATGGGTATCTGTATCAAATGAGAACCGCAATTTGACACGTATACCCAAGATGTTCTGTGGTGTTAGAGATATCTGTGGGATCACGTCCCTGATGTATGCCAATGGTGACTAAACTGGCCTATGGCCAGTCACGTGCATCGTCCTACAGCATGGAGGAAGAAACCAACCGACCGTCTCCTTCCTTTCCCCGAAGCACGTGAACATGTGTTTTTACAAAGTACACGACAAGGGTGGACTACGCAACACATACATTTTGTGAGGACTCGTACTACAACATGGCGTCCAGCGTCACAATGGTGGGGCACATGTGCTCGAGGACTCCAAGGGAATTCACAGAATATCATGATAAGGACCTCACTTGATCAGCTGTGGTTGCTTGGGATTTACCAAGTCACCCAGATCCTGCAGCAGAGGGCGACACCCCGGCTGAAAGACAGGCAACATGTGACAGCAGCGAGTAACCGCACAGGACAAGGAGCCCCCGCCCAAATTATATCCCGGCGCACCTGAAGCCCGGAAAAACCAAAGTACGACGGCGACATGGCGACATGACGGACACGCATCTCAGGACGAATCACCACATGCGAAAGAGCGGACAAGACATAGTCCGAACACCCTGCGCCCACGGAACATGGCCGCCTGCCTTCAACCCCCTCCCCCAACTGCGCCACAGCAGACGTCAAGACGAGATTCGCTCGAAACTGCAAAGGAACAGGCGCCGTTGCCGTGCCCGAAGGCCGTTCATGACACAATGGAACCCAGGGTACAAAAGTTACGTGCGGTTGACGTCGGGTCCAGCGTCGGTCGTCAACACGTAAGAGGGGTCTTCCGGGTGTTCCCGGAGGTGGGACGGCGCAACGGGAGCAGGGGGCGCCTTATTCGAGGGAGAGTAGGGGCGAGGCCCTGAAGGGGGGAGTACAGGACTCGGCAAAGCACGGAGCAGGCAGCAGACAGGGCCCGAGGGAGCGAGGCCGGAAACGAAAAAGCAGGAATGAGGAAACGGCAGTAGGGAGGCGGGGGCAGAACTCGGGACTGGCAGTAGATATAGGCGAGGCTAGGAGGGTGTGGCAGCCGAGGCGCCCGTGATGCTCCGGGGCGGACGGGCAGACTCCACTCGGACGACAGCCTCGAGGTCCCAGAGACGAGAGGACGGTCGGCATGACGGCATGGGTATGCTCGTGGCAGGTCCAGCCTTGTGGATGTCATGAGGTTGGACAGTCGGACAGGCCCGGGGTAAGGTGTGTTGGGGTCCTTAGAGGGGTTTGGTTCGTTCGGGTCATGGTAATCTGGGGATCCCGAAGATTCCCATCGTGTGCCTTAGCCGATGTGGGGTGCTGCCGTTCGTCCTCGGCAGAAGAGGAGCAGGGAGCGAGGGGCAGCAGGCAGGGATCGGAATCCGAATCGGAACCGGGTTCGAGAGGCTGAGCCGTGGCAGACCGAGCTAGGAAAGCAAGGGTGTGATTTTCTCGCGATGAAATGGCGATGGCGGCGATGGCAGCATATGGTGGAGAGGCATCGAAGGACTGGGGTTGTTGAGTTGGTGTTGAGGAAACAGAAACAGATCCATCGAAGCATCGTCATGCCGCTGGCGAGAAAGAGCAGGCGAACTGGCGAGTGGTTGGTGGTGGCTGAAAGGAGGGAGTGAACAGAGAGAGCTCTCAGCAAGTGTGGCTGGTGGACGAGACAGATGGCTTACCTAAACACAGCCCGGATGGAGCCCTGCACCTGTGTTGGCGTCGTGATGTCAGGAGGGGGAGGGGGAGGGGCAAGCAGCAGATGCAGAACAAAATGCCCCTCCTTCATCCTGGGCGCGTCACATCCGAGTCACTCTTTGGAGGGAGGAGGGGCTCTTTCTCGTCGATATCGCCCCAATGTTTCTGGATGGTTCTACTGCACATCTGTGTGCTAGTTATCGCCTGACCTTCCATTGCCTTTGCTACCTGGCTGTCCTGCACTTGCACTGCCTGCCAATTGCACGTTGGCACTGCTCGTTGCTTCTTTCGCTCCAATCCGGTGAGCCCGTCGAGACACACACCCCTACCGCGCCCCCCCCCGTACCCCGAAAGAGGATCGCGGGACAGAGCGGTGTCGCCGGCGGCTCATGTTGTTGAGGTATTATCATCATCAGTATCAAAAGGCTGACTGCCAGACGGACGCGAAGCAAATAATTACAGATCAGCGTTAGTCAGGTGCACAGTCAGGAAGGGGGGGGGGGCGGGGGGCGATTTTCTGGTGACACATCGCTGCGACAACGGAGGCAGATCAAATACTATTCTTTTTTTATTTTATTTTGCTTGGTCATGATCAGTATCAGACCAAGGCGACAGGCTGAGCGCGAGATATTGGCTCGTGGTAACGGCCCGACAACGCCTCGACATCCAATACATGATCCCGGCCACGGACCGCAAAAGAGGCAGAAAACGCGCAGCTCCAAAACCACCCCAAACGAAAGGAGAGTGGGAGGGATTGAGGAGGGGTCGCCGTGGCTCGTGGGGCCCGTTTCCCTTGGCCGGGAGTTGCGGGATGGTGAGCGATGCTCCTTGTTTGGTCCTGTTTGGTCCTCGAAACGCAGCTATGAAAAGCTCCATTTTTGGGATATTGGCCTCTGTGCCCTGTCTATCTTGGAGGGGCAGGGGCGCGAGCGGCGAGTCGAAAGAATAGCTCGACGGATGCTCATCACCCAGTCAGGGTGGGCGAGACGCCAATGAGGTGTCTGAGAATCGGAGGAGCACAGGACAAAGCTTGAAGCGAATCAGACGGAACCCCCACCACCTTTTTCTCTCAACCAAAATAATATCGCGCGACCCAGACAGACCCAGACCCAGACCCAGACAGGCTTCCTCAGACCGGACCACGCTCCCTGCGCGTGCGAGCGCGAGCATGCGTGAGTGAGTGAGCTTGGGGAGGTGGTACCGTGTACATGTGTCGGCCCCCTGCTCCTGACCCCACCAGAGGTACCTCGTTCCATCGGAGGGTACTCCACCCCACCACAGATACCGGACGCATCAAGCAGTCCCCTCCTACCTACCTCTAGGAGGTACCTACCTAGGAGGACCTAGGAGGAGGTAGCTAGACAGACACATCCAAGCACTACACCAAGCACCAAGCAACAAGCACCAAGCCACAGCTGGTTGGGTCCTTCTCCCCCCCTCCCCCCCCCCTCCCGTCATCCATCACCCAGCGCGCGCCAGGCCCGACCCAGAGGGCCATTGGGATCCATCCCCAAAGCTCATATACCTCCCCTCGCCAACCGCCTCAAAGTTTTTTTCCCTCCCTCCTCTCCCTCTTCTTCTTCTCTTCCTTCTAGCATCATCACGATACCATCTTCCAAGGTCAGTCCCAGCTCCCCCCTCATGAGCTTCCTGAGCTTCCCTGCAAAGCTCCTTCCTATCAACCTATTCAACTGCCACTGTCCTGTCCCCCCCCCTCCCCCTCCTCGGCGGCCTACGCCTCAGCTCCTGCTTGGGGCGCTCAGGATTACCCCGCCATCATCAGACCATCGTCAGGAAACTTTCTCATCATCATTATGATCCCCCCCGCCTACCCTTCCACCTCGACTCGAACCCAGCACCCATCCTTTGTTCCGTATCAGAAAACATGAACTGACCACTTCTTTTCTTATCAACAGACCTAAACTTCTTCACATACCACCTACATCATACACAATGGCTCCCATCAAGGTTGGCATCAACGGTTTCGGCCGTATCGGTCGCATTGTCTTCCGCAACGCCGTCGAGCACTCCGATGTCGAGATCGTTGCCGTCAACGACCCCTTCATTGAGACCAAGTACGCTGTAAGTATCCTCCCAGACCCAAGGATTCATGCCCCCTTTGTTCGTTCATCATGTGCTGGGGTTTTTTTCTTGGTTATGGTTTGATCATGTCTCAACCCCGCAACTCTCTGCAGCCAAGATGAGCCCCTCCACAACAATAAGACGGCGTTCCTTGAGCCTCAAACGCGCACGAGTCATATGGCTAACCTTCCCCCAGGCCTACATGCTCAAGTACGACTCCACCCACGGCGTCTTCAAGGGCGAGATCACCGAGGACGGTTCCTCCCTGACCGTCAACGGCAAGAAGGTCAAGTTCTACCAGGAGCGTGACCCCGCTGCCATCCCCTGGAGCGAGACCGGCGCCGACTACGTCGTCGAGTCCACCGGTGTCTTCACCACCACCGACAAGGCCGCCGCCCATCTCAAGGGTGGCGCCAAGAAGGTCATCATCTCCGCCCCCTCGGCTGATGCCCCCATGTACGTGATGGGTGTCAACGAGAAGACCTACGACGGCAAGGCCGACGTCATCTCCAACGCCTCGTGCACCACCAACTGCCTGGCTCCCCTCGCCAAGGTCATCAACGACAAGTTCACCATCGTTGAGGGTCTCATGACCACCGTCCACTCCTACACCGCCACCCAGAAGACCGTTGACGGTCCCTCCGCCAAGGACTGGCGTGGTGGCCGTACCGCTGCTCAGAACATCATCCCCTCGAGCACCGGTGCCGCCAAGGCTGTCGGCAAGGTCATCCCTGAGCTCAACGGCAAGCTCACCGGCATGTCCATGCGTGTCCCCACTGCCAACGTCTCCGTTGTTGACCTGACGGTCCGCATCGAGAAGGCCGCCAGCTACGACACCATCAAGGCCGCCATCAAGGAGGCCGCCGCTGGTGACCTCAAGGGCATTCTGGCCTACACCGAGGACGACGTTGTCTCCACCGACATGATTGGCAACGAGAACTCCTCCATCTTTGACGCCAAGGCCGGTATCTCCCTCAACGACAACTTTGTCAAGCTCGTCTCCTGGTACGACAACGAGTGGGGCTACTCCCGCCGTGTCCTCGACCTCCTGGCCTACATTGCCAAGGTCGATGCCGGCAAATAAATGCAGCTAGCACCTGCAAACCGTTATACCCTCCTGACATGACGGCCGGGGTTTTGTGGTGTCCAGATGTTTGAGAAGAAGGGGTCTCAACGTCGGCGCCTGTAATGAAGAAAGAAGAAAAACAGACATGACCTGACACGAACTTGGAACGCGAAGGACCACGGAAAGGTGGCCAACAGCCGCGTGCTATAGTCGAATGAACCTGCCATAGACCAACAGGCCGATTACTCCTATATGATGCTGCATCCGTGCTACCTCGTGGTGCGTGACGTGTGATGCGAGCTGCTCTAACATTTGTGTAGGTTGGTTGGGTTCGTCTCGAGTCTGGTGTGAGACGGCATAGTTTACGTCGGGCGTTTCAATGGATAAAAATGTCAAGGCTTCGTCATCCTGCAATTCCAACAACACCTACGTACTCTACCAGGCCGTAAACCCAATCCAGCCCAATCCCGTGCCCGGCACATGTTGGGGCTTCCTTATTTTTGCTCCACTCGCCCTCGCCCTGCTTCACACGCCTTCTTCCCTCTGTCCGCTGTCACCCTCGTCCCACCCCCCGCGCATCGTGCCCGTACGAGGCAGAGGGGCGAAGCGCAAGGAATGCCGCGGCGACCTTGTGAGGGCGCTAAAATAAACGAGAGAAAGAGGGCGGAAGTGTGGAAGACAGGCAGAAGAACTCGAAGACGGACGATACAGACAAGACCAACGGGGTGTCAAAAAAGATAAAAAAACAAAGAATAGAGAGAGAGAGAGAGAGAGAGAGAGAGAGAGAGAGAGAGAGAGAGAGAGAGAGA